TTTGGTTCCTTAATTAATTTTACAAAGTATATTTTTAGCTCTTTAACTGTAATAATATTAGTTTTAAATGATTTTTTTGCCAATTATTATTATTTAAAAAAATTTAAATGTAATATATCAACATTTGAGAATATTTTATTAATATTTAAATGTTAAGTATATAAATTTTTTGTGATGAAACTAACAATGTTTGGGTTACAGAACTGAAAAAATACTTTATAAAATTAAAATATCAAAGTAAATTTTTATATAAAATTAAAAGACTACAGGTATACTTTAGCCATTGATAAATTATAATATAATTATGGGTAAATGAGTAAATTACCTTTTGAATTTTATATCCAATAGCATCATAGATTCTGAACTTGTTCATTATGCAAACTATTCTCTCCACTTTTAAAAATAATGTAATCTATCCCCTGTCATTAATAAAAATTAATTTTGATTGTTAGTTGACCAGAAAATAAAATAAAAGAACTTAAAATTACAGAAAAAACCAATCCTTTTCTAGTTAATTAATGATTAAAATTAACTTTTATTATTAATAAGAGTCAAATTGCACCATTTTTAAAAACTGAGTGAATAATTTGCACAATAAAAAAGTTCAAAACCTATGCATTACTAGGCTTAAAATTCAAAAATAATTTACTCATTTTATCTGTAATTATTTTAAATAAAAAATAAAAAATAATTTTCATAAGAATAAAATTATTAATTTATTATTGACTCTAGCTCCCCTCTCCTCCCTCCAACTTCAAGCGAGATCCCTCAAACAAATCATACAAGATATCACTAACTCCCTCTCCCTTCACCCCTAACCAAACACACCCAACAAGAACCACCGCCGGCAACCGATGGAAAGAAATCACAGTCAGCAGGCACTGTGGAGTCTCAAAGCATATCACATTTCGAGCAGCAATACGTACATAGTTGAAATCGAATCTCGGAAAATCACAAAAAATAACAATCATACATTTTAAAATTAAAAAGCCTACACTAGAAACACTTGAACGCCGTTTTGGTTGCCGTTGAACAGTAAAGCCTGTTGAACGTGGAAATAGAAAAAGGAAGAATGGAAGAGGCCAAGCGTGCGGAGGTCACCGTGGAACCTAAGGCTAATCGTGTGGAGGTCAGGAATAAGGTTTATTTTGGATCACTCTGTCTGTAATCGCCGTCGCACTCTCAGTTGCCGTGGTCGGAGATTCAACCACGTCGTCAGTTGAGCTTCACGTGATGGATCGAATGGATTGGCGTCTCATTTGGGATTGAAAAATGGCAGGGCTTGAGGATAAGGATGAGAAATTAAATGACCTTGGGGAAAATGAATTTCATGGGCGTGGGGGAGGAGTCAATTTCTCACAATTTTGATAGATCAGAACTGACTTTCCTGGAGAAGAGAAGAGTGAATTCTAGTCTACCAAACAGCATTTTCAACATTTCATTTCTCCCATCCAATTCCACCGTACCGAACGGTCTTTATAAGGTAATTTTGACATGGTTATTGATTAACCTGTGCTCTTATCCTTTGCTTCCAATTACATGCACAACAAAAGATCTTGGTCCGTATGCAACCTCTCTCACTCACTTGAGTTATTGTCCTTTTAATTCCCCTTCCTCTCTATTTTTATTTTAATAATTTGTTTAGTGAGCTGAACACAGAATATACTTTACTGATAAATTATAATAAAGACTAATCTCCAAGATAATATTGATAAAATGATGGTTGGAATTTGAACTCTACCACTTAGTGCCTGCTTGGATAACCTTTATAATCAATTTTAAATGTCAAAATAATATTTTTATGAAAATATATTCAAGTACTCTTATTACATGTTAAAATTAATTATAAACTTAAAACTATATTTTTCTAAAAATATTTACATACTTATTATACATGCCAAAATTAATTATGAACTAAAAATTATATATTTTTTTAAAATATCTAAACATGTATATATATAAAAATCAATTATAAATCCAAAAATATGATTTGTAAAAAAATTTACATGATTTTTGGATAAATTTTTAGAAAAGCATAATTAAAAAAAGAAAGTAATAATGGCTTATAAGATAATTATGATTTTAGGTTTATAATTAATTTTTGCATGTATGGGGGTATTTGGATATTTTTAAAAAAATCATAGATCTGAGTTTATAATTAATTTTGACATGTATAATGAGTTTTTAAATATTTATTAAAAAATATAATTTTAGACTCATAATTGATTTAATATATAACATGGGTGTTTATATATATATATATATATATTTCATAAAATCATGGTTTTACATGATTTTCAATTTTTCTTTTCTATTCTACTTTTTTAATTTTGATTAAAATAATCTTATTTATTAATTTTATAAATTAATTATATACCATATAATGTAAGCAATTATATTGAAAGAGTCTGTTTGGATATGGGTCATGATCGATTATATGAACCGAAACCACGGTCTTGGTAAAAATCATCCAAGCACCCTCATTTTTTTCATAATCAATTATTTGTACTTTCACCACATTTTGCTACAAGTTGGGAAGAGGAGCTTATTAAAATCAATTTTAACATTAGACCCATGTATCAGTTGTCAAACATTTTACCTCCCAAGCATAGTCCTTCCAGCAAATTGTAAGAGTCTGTTTTGCATGTGGGAGTGAATGAGCAGTGGCGAGTGTTGTGAAATTGGGTGTTACAGTTTTTGTGTCGCATCCTTAAAGATTTTTGTGTCTCTCTCTTCAACTTGCGTATTATTATTGATGGTTCTGACTAGTTTTTATTTTTTACTTTTTTAACCTAGACTACTGTTTATTTTACACATTGTTTAGTCAATAAATTCACAAAAATTATTATTATTATTATATGTTTACATTAACATTAATGTAATTTATTTATTGAATAGAATTCACAAATTTAATAATATTATATACAATTTTATCAACATTTACATTTTTTAAAAACAATATTTTTTATGGTAATTTATACATTTAAAATTAATTTTTACTAAATCATCCAAACATATTTAATTTTATCAAAATTAATTTTAAAAAGTATAATCCAAATATTATCACATTATAACATAATCAATTATAATCAAAATCAATCTTATTAATCAATTTTTTCATAATCAATTTCATCCAATTGAAATCCAAACACATTAATCAATCATATTAATTAATTTTTTCATAATTAATCATACCCAACTGAAATCCAAGCTTCTACCAATTGTGTTGATTTGAGTTAATTTTATTTTAACAGTTTTTATTATTTATTCATAGGATTGTGGATGTTCCTTCTTACAGATCCATCCGTTTCCAAACGAAAGAAATAGAAAAAGAAGAAGAAGAAGAAGAAGAAGAAATTTTTAGTGTGTATTTGGATTTCAACGGACAAAATTAATTGTTGAAAAAATTGATTAAGAAAAAATGATGATGTTTGGATAATATTTTATAAAATTAATTTTGATAATTAAATATATTTGGATAATTTTTTAAAATCAATCATAAAGATAATGAAAAATGCTCAAACACTAAGAATTGATTCTCAAATGGATGAAAAAAAATAGCTTCTCTAAAATGAAATTTCACAAGTCAAATGAATTTTTGTAAAATTGAAGATATTTAAATAAGTTTTTCTAAAATTATAGTTTTGATCTCGGAATTGATTTCAAATGAAAATGCAAATATACTCTTATCCTTCTAACGTTTAAGTCGGTGTTGACCAAAGCTTGGGGAAAAAGAGGGAGAATTATTTTAAAATCTCACTCAATACTATTAATTATTTTCAAGTCTAATGATCATTGACTTTAGGAGAATGACAACATAATTTATTGTTATGCCTTTGAGTTCAATTGTCAATAAATATGAAAGTGATTAATTATATTGAGTGCAATATAATTTGTATGTAATTCTTAGGGAAAAAATAGACAAGTGTGTGGAGGTTAAATTTGACAACAAATGATGTTTGAGAGTAAAGGTGAGCATCAGTCAATTCAATTTAGTTTGATGCTAAAATGTGTAAAATCGATTGATTAAACAAATATGAACTGTAAATTAAATCAAACAAGGAACAAACTGAATTTTGACAATTCATCTTGATCAATTAATTCAGTTTTGAGCTTCATTTTAAATTGCTTATACTAGAGCCAATTGTTTTTATCCTACTAAAATAGCAAGGTTTATATATAAAATTGAGTTTATAAAGCAATATTTTTTAAAAAAAGTAGGTTAAATTGAAAAACTAAATAGACTGAATCAAGTGACAAAATTTTGATTAGATTAGATTCAATTTTTAATTTTGGTTTGGTTTTGCAAAAGGACAAAATTTTTAATTTTGGTGAAAAATGGAATGAAACGAGGCGGATGATCATGAGTGGGAAATATGGAAGAGGGGATGACGTGGGGTGAAGATGGGTCAGGATGGGACCCACCACTGTTGGAATATGTGGTTAAATTGGAGCAATGTGGAGCTACTTTTAAGGTTTTACCATTACCCCGGTGATGATGGTGAGCCTAAGTATCTGTCCCCACTACTCCTTATCCCCTAACCCTCCATCCCCATTCACCTTTTTCATGCACCACCCCTTCATCATTATTATTCAATATCTTCCCTCCTCCTAAAAGTACCTCCTCTTTTTTTTTTTTTTTTAATTATCATCATTTTATCTAACAGTTTATGGACCTCACCCACGTGTCCTCCTCTCCTCTCTTCCCCTTCTTGACGTGTCACCTTCTCAACGGCTCCTCTCTCACCGTCCCTCCTCATCCCCTGCCCCCCCTCCCCTTGCGCCCCACTCTTTTCCCCTAATCAGGCTTCCCATTCTTAATCCTTTCGCTAATCTCCCCCTCCTTTTTCTGCCACGTCATCTCACTATTGGTTGGCGCTGCGGACTTACGGTGGGCTTGTCCGCATGGGACCAAGTGCCACGCATCACTCCCTCGTCCTCCTCCCCATATATAACGCCGCCTTCGCCCTCTTCTCTGAGGGGCATGATCCATGTGAGTGTGAAACCAGTAACATTTCCCTACCACGCTCTTCTCCTTCTTCTTCGTCTTTACCGGAAGCCATTACCCTAATTCGATCCGTAACTGCTCACCGCTCCCTCGCTGAAGCTTTTGCGGCCGCTGGTTGGGCCGTACATGGAGAGCACCGACTCGTCCACAGGTTCCCAGCAACCGAACCTGCCGCCCGGGTTCCGGTTCCATCCCACCGACGAGGAGCTTGTCGTTCACTACCTCAAGAAGAAGGTCTCCTCCGCTCCCCTCCCCGTCGCCATCATCGCCGAGGTCGACCTATACAAGTTCGACCCCTGGGAACTTCCTGGTACGTCCAATTATTCTATGAAACAGAGACTGACTGGACGCGACAACGATATTAAATTAAATATAATTTTAACACGCCATATTTTATATGAATGGTACTATTTGACTCTCGACAATTTTTGAGTAATTTATACATGGTGGAAGCGATGCGGTTTTCAGTTCGGTGGCTTTCACTTTTTCTGCAGCTAAGGCAGTGTTTGGGGAGCAAGAGTGGTATTTCTTCAGCCCGAGGGACAGGAAGTACCCGAACGGAGCGAGGCCAAACAGGGCAGCCACGTCTGGGTATTGGAAGGCGACGGGGACCGATAAGCCCGTGCTCACAGCTAATGGAAACCAGAAGGTAGGGGTGAAAAAAGCTCTGGTCTTCTACGGAGGGAAACCCCCGAGAGGGATCAAAACCAATTGGATCATGCACGAGTATCGCCTCGTCGATAACAAGCCTAACAACAAGCCTCCTGGGTGTGACTTAGGCAGCAAGAAAAACTCTCTACGGGTAACCTCTTCATTAATTTTCCGCACAAAATACTTTTTCTAGGTTTGAGTACTTCGTATAACATTGGCCAAAAAAACAAAAAAAAAAAAGTACTTCGTATAACATTCAAACTCGAATCCTTAATTCGATCCGATCGATTTCAGTATCTCTTAATCACTAGCTTATTTGCTACTTTCATTTAGAGTTGGAGACTTCGGTTCTGGATCTAGATTCTGATATATATGGTCATCTGGTTATTATTTTTTTTTTTATGGTTGCACTATTATATAGCTGGACGACTGGGTACTGTGCCGAATCTATAAGAAGACCAACACACAGAGATCACCCATGGATCATGAAAGGGACGATTCAATGGATGATATGATTGGAGCTGGAGGGGTGCCTTCGTCAATCAACGTGGGCCAAATGAATGCGAGATTTCATCTTTCCAAGATGTCCACATTAAGCTACGGTGGAACCGCATTGCTGGAGAATCATCATGACCAGAACTTGCTGGAAGGGGTTGTACTGAGCAGCAACCATAACAAGGAACCAGATCTTCAACTTCCCTTTGTGACAACCATGACTACCACGACTGCCTCTAACTCAAACGCGAAACGAACGCTGTCTTCTCTGTACTGGAGCAATAATAACGAAGAGGAGGATGTGAACGGCACAAAAAGGTTGGGTTTGGATGAGAATCTTCATCATCATAATAACAACAACGAGGGTGGCAGTAATTCCATAGCCACCTTGCTTAACCAGCTTCCTCAGACTCCTTCATTGCACCACCAAACAACGCTTAGCTCCTACCCATATTCGATACCTGGAATGAATTGGTATACTTGATTTCGCTTCTCAATCAAGAGTTGGCTCATTAATATCTGGTTATGAACGATAACATAGAACTGATGGAAGAAGCGAGAAAGGAGATCGATCAGACTAAAGAGACATGAATGGCTTATATATATTAATTATACTGAGATTTTGGCTGTTCGGATTATTGGAAGCCGGTTAGAAGGCTAATCAAGTAGATATATATGGCCTTAAAATGGACTCTTTCCAACCATGCATTGGTGGGGGTTATAGCTTGCAATACTCTAGACGAAGGACGTGACACATAAGGTGAGGCCATGGATATTTTTAGGCAAACTATATATAGCCTTTATACATTATATATGGATATTTGCTTTTTTATTCATATGTAAAGGAAATCAGGGTTTCAGCTTTCAACAGACCAGAAAGTTATATATTTACATATCGTTGCTAGCTTCAGGATCATATTCACCAATAATATTATAGACATATCCCTGTACATATACTGTAGAATTCTGATGGATGCAAAAGAAATTAATTACGGGCAAATTAGTGGTGATTATGGTTTTTCTTCGTGACATTGATGAATTTTTCATTGGTCTTTTTCTAGCTGTAATCTGACCGTGGCGATGAAGATTAATTTAATCTAAAACCACGTATGAAAATGATGTTAATTAAGCGTGTTTTTAAGTTATATCCAATGCCAGATTCATTTTTTCAGTCGACACGTCAAGCTGTCCAGAAGGTTATTAGTCTTATTCACATCTTTATCCTTTTACCCGGAATCATTTCTGCTAATCAAAATCAGCTACTATCCTAGAACATGCATGCACGTGCATATGTTACATGTATGCATACTTACATATAGTATACAATATTAATCTGTCTGTTGTCAAATAATTTTCACCACTTTCCTATGGAAGACTTGTCCAAAACTTCACTCACATTTATATCCTTCGATTGGATCTTCTTTTGATAAGTGCAGGGTTATAACTCTACTTACAAATTCGTACTGTCTTGTGTTAAAGTAAATTAACAAACAAGTTTTACTGTATATGACTTGTAACTCGTTTCAAATTTTGATATATATATATATATATATATAATAACAATTTTTATAACTATATATATTACTTCTCAATATGCATGATGTTATTGTGTTATTAGAATGAACGTCACACATGCAACTGGCCATGTTTTCTAATTATAAGTCTTGAATATTTCTGGCTTCTTGTTGTGAGATTCTAATGATTCTATATATATGATTAGGAGGAACTAGTTTGTGCGTGTGTGAATATATATATATATATATATATATGCCGAGTATTTTTGTTTCTTGATTTATTCCCTTCTGAAAAGTTCAGCTTTACTCACACAACATATATATGATGTCACTGTGATCATATAACGTAAGAATTCGTTTTCATAAGAGAACCTATGGTAAACTTACATGTGTTACGGGCTACGAGTTTGACACTTATCCTCAACCCAATCAATTTGTCATGCGCCCAGAAAATGTTTAATGAAATGACACTTCATTAGAAAATGTCAAATGAATTCTTACCACTTCATTAGCTCCCACAGGTGAAAGAGAAGATAAAAGCGTTGTCAGTTTTCTGTTGGTTTATTGGTAAGCCGAAAAGGATGATACAGGTTACTGATAATCATTTATCAACTTACAAGGTACATGATTGACACTAATAAGGACAATATAAAGTATATATAAATCCTTGGTACCAGAGAAAATTAAACCCACAAAATAGGTGATCACAAACCTTTCTTTTGTCAAATCCTAAAAGTGGCCCAAGAGATTAACAGTAAGAAATATAATTAATAAGAGAACATCGTGCAGGGAGTTCACATATGAGAGATCTAAGGATAGGGATTAAGCTTCAGGTTTGAAAATTCAACGAGAGGAACCAATCATAAAGAGATGTTTAGTAGTCTTGGATACATCTCTTTGCCTGAACATCATATATATAATAATCATTATATGATGAGTGATGAGCGAAGCAATCTAGAATAGCGTATATTATAAAAGCGAAAGAGGGTAGAGGATAGAAAGTAGATTGTGTGTACCTAGTAATCCACAAAGAAACTAGGATTACATCTGAAAAGAGAACCAAAGATATTTATATTTGAGGATGGGTGTGTCATTTTCCTATCGTGGGAGTGATAAGACGCAGTTGAAGTATATTCCATGACCCATGAGGTCACACAAGTAGACAACAGAGTCTACCTCACGAGCAGCTACTTCATTTTTTTCCTCCTGGCTCACTCTTAAGGGTCCATTAATTCTTCTCTTCCTAACATCTAATGGAATCATTATCCTAAAACCACAAAAATAAATGCCCTTTAATTGCATTCCTTCTCGGTTAACAATACCAATCAACTTTAAATAATTAGCATCATTTTGTGCTTATTTTTGGAATACATACTGTAACCATGACTCGACTATATATTATTATTGTTATTGTTATTATACCCTTGATTGTGGCTGATGCTTTCACGGTTTCACTCACCTTAATAAAATCTACATATGAAACCTCGTCTCTAAAATTAAAAACAATTTTGTAACGATATTAACCTTGCAACCTGCATGTATTATTAATTTCCTAGAATGCACGCATGAGTTGTGGTTATCTTAAATATTTTTTTATTAGTTTGATGGGCAGAATTTTATTAAGTAATTAGAAAAACGGCATGTGTGCAAATTAAATAAAGCGAGATCGTAAAACATTTTTTAGAAAATTATTATTCTTAATGCAACATTTTTATTAAAAAGATAGTAATAAATACTTGAATAACATCACTTGTGAGTTCCTTTTGTACTGTACCTGGATAATGCTCGGATGCTTTTTCTCTACATTTCAATTCATTTACCCTCCCAACATGATAAAGCCAGTGGGGTTCCTCTCCCTGGAATTAAAGAATAAAAAATTGAAAGAAATTTATTGAGTCCACATCGCGAGAAATTGACTAGAACTGAATATTATGTGCGCGCGCGCGCCCATTTGCATGCATATATCATGTGCTGCTTTCATTTCTGTATCAATCCTTCTAATTCAGGTCAATTCTAACCCTCATCTTGGGGTCATATCTGATGCCCAAGAAACAAAAAGAGAATCAAGAAATTTTGTTGAGGTGGTGGAGTGGTTTTGATCATGGGGAGAGAGATGTATAGTAGTTGACTTCTAGCAAAAGTTGATAATAATAGCGTGTGGCATCAACTAGGGTTTTCTTTTTCATTGATGAAAGCTAATCAGCAGAAAGAATAGGCTGCATCCAGCCAGCAATACTCGTGGAAAAGATACATAGACCAGTCCTTGATAGCCTATATGCAAAACCCAAAAAATAAAAAAAGTCATTTTTCATTACAATTTGCATGACGTCAAATTTGGCACTGACCCACCACCCATCATGATAAAATGCTGCACTTACATATCATATAGCACCCCATATTGTCCATTATAAGGGCCCATCCCCTGCAATGCCAACATATGGTGGTGAGGAGAAAGAGAACCCAGTTCATGACCTCAATTGATTCGATTTTAGACAACAATCAAACCGAACCAAATCAATCAATTTGCTCATGAGTAAAAACTTATTAGTTTATATGCAAAAATGATTGGTTTTAATTCAGTTTTGTTTCGATTTGGTGAAGATTTGAATTATTTTCAGTAAATCTATTTGGACTTTTTCCCTCTTATAATAGTTGGATTTTTTTTTCATTTGAATTTATTTATGCATGCTCACTCTTTTATTATATGAAATCTCCTTCCTTATCTAATGCTTTTATTTCAATCATAAAATATTTATGGAAAGTCTTTAAACCTTAATTATCACATATCTTATATTTACATGTTCAATTTTTTTATTTAATTTTAGTTATCTTTTGCTCGGTCTCAAATGAATCAAAGATAAAAGGATATGTTCATATTATATTAATTTATTCATCTCTTCATTTCATTGGCCTAAAGTATATGTATCTTCAGATCTCATTAATTTCCTTGTGCTATCTAATATATATATATATATATATAATGCAAATTAATTTTATGATTGCAAGCAGTAGAAAAATCAAAATAGGGTAGTATTAACTACTCCTCTTCATGATTATATTAGATGCACTATTGGAATCCTCATGGAGAAAATTCATCACCTAATAGCAAGCA